AAAATGGGTGTACACCAACATCGCCGTCTGCTGGCAATTGCTGATTCTCCCGTTGTTGCTTTCAAAGGAAAACTTACAGACACAGCGTCGGCCATCTGAATGCAGTTGTTTGCCAGGAGGACACTGACAGTGATGACCACCAACTGTGTTCACACACCGATATTCGCAACCACCATTGTCCGTTTCGCACTCATCAATATCTACAAGAATAATTGCTTGATGCTATCTTATTTATTGTTCCTCTCACTCTCACATTCGAATTCAGAAAAGACTTGTATATTTACTGTGAATTAACCAATGGCAGATGTTGTTACAGAACCCCTACTGAAAGAGGAAAAAATTTTAATGAAACTTTTCGATGATAGAATTGAGTCAAATGTGTAGTCAAATGGTGTAAAGATGATAATATCAATTCACACTTTCGATTTCTCGTAGGATTAAAGATTCAACTACTGCGAATGTCGTCGGAGTTCAAAACCCCTTCCTAGTGATAAGTTCCACCAATGTCATACTCTTTTTTTTTTTCAGCATTTAGAGGCATTTTTTTGCGCAAATCTGGGAACAAACAAACCGATGCATTTCTTGTGATCGTTGTCAAGCCGATATCCAGGAAAACATCTGCAGTAAAAAGTACCGATCGTATTAACACAGTCATGGTGACATCCACCATTATCGATTAAACACTCATTCACATCTTAAATCATTTTTGCATTGGGAATACGCTGATCGTTTTGCATGCAAGTGCTTCAAAATATTCGAATCAATTCGAGAAATGTCCCACAAAAAGACTCCAATTTGCTTGGTCTTAAAAATCTATTCTGGTAGAAGAATATCGGCTGCTAAAAGCCATGTGCTGAGCATCATGAATATTGCTGCCTCGTTAACTGAGAAGATATTTACCATATTGACATCTTGTTCCTTGAAACCCTTCCAGACAATAGCATACTTGTTCAGTACCATTTTGCACTGGTACACAAGTTCCTCCGTTGTGGCATAACTCTGGTGTGCAATTCGCTGCAAATGAAATGTGACGTCAAACATTCAATTTTAGAACTACAGCTTCTGGGACAAAATGAAATCGGTCTACCAGATTTTGCACAGTTATCTGAACCAGATTTTGTAAAGTCATTCATTAGTGTGATTAAGTATTCTGATATTTGACACGATAATTCAGATGTCTATTTTCATAATCATTAACAATGAATGGAGTTCTGCAAACTAAAAAGAACTCTCAATTACCACTACAGAAAGTAATGTTACTGAATGTAATTCTACGGTTAGATGGATGATGCAATCTCATGAATGATAGATAAGTGCTTTAAAGGATCATCACAAAAACAGAAGCCATGTGCGGCACAAATGAAAGCTCGAAATAGGATCGCGTGAAATCGCAGCATTATGTGAATCACTTTGATGTTTCATCATTGCAGTTGCAGTCATAAATTATCTTCATCAAGACCAGCTGTGAATGCATTAAACCCTCAATGATCAATCATTTCGCATCAACTTGGAATTATCAAACGTTAACAACTGCCCCAAGTAGGTTTTGAAAAAGCAATAAAGTGTATTTTTAGCAATCAGTAATAATTGAAATGCATTTAAATCAGTTCTGCTTCAACTTCATGATAGAAATGATTTGTTGAATTAGAATAACTTTGATGGGATTTTTGCTATTGAGAAAATTTTCACGGAAAAAGGTTAACATTACTGGATTTTTCACCAATTATCATTCACGCCATACATGGAGACAATTGAACACTATTATCGCGATTATTTAAAGTTGCCATAACCAACAGAAAACTTGACCAGTATTCATTTCTAAGCCTCTAACATGCAAAATATTGATCTTACAAAAAAACTGGTTGACCATATCATGTTGATTAAGTGTTCTTCCAAAAATCAACGTTCTTATGCAAGATGTCGACTGTTACGATCTATTACCAGAGTAACCTTACAAATTCAACTCACTGGGTTTTGATGAAAATTTATCTGACAGTAAGGTTCCACCACAGTGAACTAACTCTCTGAGAACTGAATTGCACTATTTATCTATCATGGACAATTATTCAGTAAATTCATCCATATTCCGATGCGAAATTAACGGATTTGGGATGCTTGACTGGACGCTCAAAGTTACATTCCAAATGTCAACTACTGAGTTTGAAGGAGATCTAAAGTCATCCATCAAACGCTTATTTCGAGAAGATAACCGCAATGAACTTTTGCTTGGTCAATTAGGATTACGAATGAATTATGAAACGAGAGCTGCATCACTGTTGTGATTCACCAGTTTACGAACATCTTCTATTTACCGAATGATCGATGAGGTTATTTTCGGTGAGACAACGAAAACAAAATCTAATCAATCAGTCGCTGTTGTATGTATCTTGTGGCAGAAATTTCATAATTACACTACATTTAAATTTTCAAACGAATAATACTAAAGTTATAATAACGTTTCGCACTGATATGCATCCTCATTAGAGATTCGGCAACTGCTCACACTGCAGGTATTCCCTAAGATACACCTGCCGAAAGTTGGATCAGGACAAATGTTCTAAATGAAAAACATGAACCTCTTTGACAGCCATCTTCACCAGGCACGTGCAACCATCCAGAACAACACTGCACAGTCGTATGGCGTTTGGTTCGTGTCACATTCTTGTAGGTGCGATAATAAACGGTCCTGAAAATGTTTCTGGCGGATATTTCGTATCGTTTACTCATTCCCACTTAGTGCACAGGAAAACAGTCAGTCATTGTGGTTGCATCGATAGCTCATGCTGTTTTTGGGTTTTGACAATGAACTCATTAGTTGAACTTATCAATATGTGCTTTATTTCATTCATCATTCGTTTTATGCATTGTTCTTGTTCTCTATCGAATTCCATTCTATAATGAAGTTCTCAGGGAAAGCAGTTTGTAATAGTTAAGTACCAAATAACGAAAGAAATAAGTTTTTTCTACAGTTCTGAAACATCGTCTATCCAGGTTCCTTAAAGTATACACTTTTGCGATGCACACTCATTTGAGAGTATTTTATGCTTCAATGAACAACAATAACAGCATCAATAACCAACGCCGTTTCCATAACGTTGTTTGTTATAAACGCATGAAGCTTATAAGCCTCATCGGTCTTAAACTCCTCTCTGTGCGCATCAATTTTGTTACGGATTAAACACTCCAAAGAAGACATATTAGGCTACGAAAGCAATTTTACTCTCAATGTTCAGTACTGAACAAAGTCTGGATCATACGTATGTATAAAGCGCAAAAAGAGAAATGATGTCATCAAATGCTCCTTTCGCGACAATCTCGCTCACAATCGATACAATCAACTGATCATTCGATTGAATGAGTGCAAAAACAGCTGATGTGAAATAGCAGGAATTAGATCAAGTATTACTAATTAAGAACTGAAAGACATTCATACTCCCATGCTCTTCTGAGAATTGCTGACTTTGATATCGGACTGAGCAATTTTCAGGAAGCATTACTGCATGTCCATTACGCGAATGATTTGATGCGATTCATCGAAAATACAAAAGAAGATGTTCATTGTTTCTTCAATGAGACAATCGATTTCAAATGATAATTCAGCCTAACAATTATTTTATCACAATTATCTCAAAAAACAAAATGTCTACTCATGATGGAGTTCCGTCCGAAAAAGCCTTTTCAAAGTAAGAAAGTAACGATTCCCGAGCAACAACCACAAAAATATATTCGTAGCCCATTCGTTTAAAAAAATTTTTGTGAACCTAAATATACATCAGTGAGTGAGGTGTTCCATTTTTTGGAATGTCATCCCATCAGTTTGGTGTAAAACCACAGTGGCATTTGTAGGGTGTCGATTGAGAAAGTCTATTAGGTAAATGCTGTTCTTCGTATAAGATGAAAGCAATTTGTAACTGTCATTCAGCACTATGAAATAAATGCACTGTTGATATAAGACAATCCCTACTACTGTTGTTTTTTATAGCGGATGAATGAATATTCAGAGAGCAGCCCATCAAATGCTCATCACCTTAATTATATGTTCTTAAGAAGTGAATTGCCGAAAGGTCAAAGTTGTGTCAAACAAGTGGTCAATTACGATCAGATAACGCATTTTATCACTTGCTGTGGTTTATTCTCTTCGCATCTTTCATTGCCTTGGTACGAATTGTTTTTTGAGTGACAGTAACAAATGTTTTTGAGATGATGACTACGTAGTATAATATCAAATATGGAAATGCAATTCGAATAAAGGTGTACAAATGCTTATTGAGTGCAAGGCCGATCAGAGAAGACTCAGCTGATTACCATTCACCTCGCACGTTGCAGAAAAAAGTGATTCAACTTCACAAATATTTGTATGAATTGAACCAATGAAACAATAAAAGGTTCTCATGTGGTTGAGCATTGACAGATTTTTGTTCTGCTTTTGAAAAAATAATGATATGAATTGTTGAAGACAGTGATTTTTTGTTCTTGTTGTTAAATTCATCTATGTTGAAGACTCTATAAAGTGAACCAAAAAACGTTCGCGATGATCGAGGAAAATGCTCTTAAAAAGAGAAGTGAAAATATTCCGAGAGGAAATGAAAGTTGAAACTAACTTTGGTTCGCGTACTGAGCATGAACGAAACTGTCCGTTGCATCCCGGCTTTCGAATTCTCACATATTTCGTATATGCTTGAACACACGGTTCTTGTACAGTAACGATTTCAACCTCTTCATGAGGACAAACGTTCTTCCTGAAATAGATTTCATCGACAGACATAATAGTAGCAATCAACCCCGTTACATCCGCATGATAAGCTCAACGGAATGAATCTTTTAGTATCTTTTTTTTCAAATTTTCGTTTCGTTGATCCGTTGAGCCCTTTTCTACCTACTTCTCATTTGAATGTTACGCAAGTCGATTTGATGAATCTTAAATAAGGTATTTCAATAGTTTACGAATAACTTCTTGACAACGGAGATGACTCCTCAGCAGGAGTGTGTACCGTATTGAAGCATTTCAGAATGTTACAAATAAGTCAGAAATATTTCTGTTATAAAACCTCTCAGACAGTGCATAACGTCTGTGCGTACTGTACTTGTACGGTGGAGAAATAAAAACACCAAAATAAGTGTTCGATGGAATTTCTTTACAGCTGCCGCAATTTCATGAGAGAAAATCTGTTCGATAGAATGACAGCTGCCGCAATTTGTTGTTTTTGATGCTATCCGTCAAAAATCTAGCAAACTGCGGCAGCTGTCATAGAGGTTAAAAGACGAAAGATTTACAGTGATAATGGTTTATACAAGGTACATACACAAGGTCATTGCTGCGTGCATTCATTCACTCATTCGTCAATTCCGCAATATGAAGAATACTTGATATTCGATCTCCTCTTCATCATATTAATAATAAATCATCCTATCTCACAAATACCTCATTCTAATGCTCTCAACAAAACATTATACAATTGCAATAAAACTCGTTCAAGACTAGAAAGTTAATAGATTAATCAAATCACGAATTATCATCAGTTAAGCTTCAATCCGTGAACTGAATTACGCTGGAAATTTTTCAACAAATCCCTTAGTGGGAATGACCAACTGCATTTGGCAAAGGATATCTAAATTAATGTGAACGGTTCGCTGAAATCGAGTTCCAACAATGCATGACGTGCTCATGAAATGAAACTGACAAAGAATAACGGATTGAAGCACTGATTTTAATTCCGATTTATGTTCAAATATGTTCATGAACATTACCGAAAAATTAACCAAGGAAACTGTTTCTGCTTCACTGAAAGCACATATTATGTGAAAAATCGATCCCGTTATTTACAAAACTTATCAAATTGTGAACTAGATTATACAAGTTGTATTCTCCACACTACGCACCCCATTCAATAAACCGTTGCTGTAATTAAGGAAGTAAACAACATTCGGATGGCGTGGATATATTCAATGGTTGTTATGCGATATTAATGTAAGTAAACGAATGTTTTGTATAACAGCAATCAAGTCATTGTAAACTGCTGAAAATGCTGATATATCATTGTTGTCAAACCAAATCGACAATCCTTGATAAAATACAATAAAGTGTACACGTTAATGCATCTACAATACCCATTAAGTTTACACTTCATTAAACCACCGTAACGGTCAACAAACGCTGAATAAACCATTTAACACTAGAGACCTTTGTTGTTCTCACCCTGCAACATTTGCTTTTGCAACAAACTGCCACCAATTTACGTGGAGATATATATCCTAATGAAGAAACCTCAAAGTATGGCGCTCTCTACGAAGCAATACGTCATTAAAATGCTTACTTGGATACCTCTCAAAACATTTTATGTCTGCAACATCCGGTATACATTTAGTTAGCAACAGTTCCATCAATGTTGGACTATGAGGCCATATTAAGAATGAGTGATGAATTCATCCTTGAGTCTATTCAAGAGAAGCTTCATGCTGACAAGCCGAAATGAATTCAGTCTTTATTTTGAAGGACTCTATCAATAAGACGTGAGCAATTTTAAAAGAATATTTTCATATCTTGACGCAGCAGGATGAAGCTTGTTTCAGTACCGGCTGCTAAGGCATCTAACGGACGTTTATCGCGGAATATGGAATGTCCGATCCCTTTACCTTCTGGTATTTGAAAGGAAATGTTCTGTGAGTTGTTTTTTCAGCAGCAATTGATCGTCATATTTCGTAGGTTCATTGAAATCACATCAGTTTATCAAGAAAATGGTGATTTAACAGGGTTTTCATTCTTTTCATGCAATCATAATCGATTGCAATAATAAGCAACACAACAGTCTAAGAGAAGGTCTAGCCATGTCGAATACCATCATGGTACTAACAAGACTTGAATGTAATGATCATCTGAAAGTAACATAATGCGATTTCCATATTCACTAGTACTGTTAAAGAAGGCAGTTGAGATGATTCGAGAAGTTGATACCTCCTAGAACCGATTCATGAAATGTGATTACGAGAAGGCTTATTGCCACCACAAGCAAAGTAAACTGTAAGCAATAAAATGGCACACACTAGGGTTTGCGCGTAATCCCGGGATCCCGGGACTATGGTTCTGATCCCGATCCTGGGATTTAAGTTTTGGAAAATCCCGGGATTTCGGGATTTGATAAAACAAGTCAATTTGTGTGAATTTTGATAGTACGCCCATCTTGAAGCAAGCCTTAATCATTCTCATCTAATTTATATGCACTTATCTTTGCTGCTTGCCCTCTATCGTTGATGTTCAGCTAACAAGGAAATAGACGCAATTC